AGCGTGTTCACCCGGGTGACCGCGATTCTCATGTTTGTTTCTCGTATTTTTCTTTGTCGAACATGCTTTTATGGCTCCGCGACATACAATATATGCGATCACTCGATTCTTTGGAGCAAAGGTGCGTCCATGTTTCGATTGTTATGTTCATTGCTGATATAAAACACAGGAACAGCAGTTCACAATTTCTATCCCTACGAATGGCCTATCCCTAATGACCTTAACATTGACCACTGTGCCGAATTCCAAGAGGGACAGTTCTGGAATGGCGAACAGTCCGCTACCGCGTCGTTTGACCCTACTCTGAACTCCGACAAGCTTTTTCCTGCTTGCGCGCGGTTCGTACACGAACGGATGGGTATATATCGGTCAATCTGAGGATGTCAGTTTGGATACGCAAAGGTGGAGGTCACAGTCAAGTACCAAGACGACGAGCTGGAGCTGGCCAAGGTGTGCAAGGTCAGTCGCGCAGGGAACGAGAATGGTATAGGGTTCTTCGTACGTACCTCCTTCTGTAATGGCTCATTTCTCATATCCCCCATCGCAGACTCCTCGCCATGCTCACCGCAATCATATCCATCTCGGGTTCGACGTTCGTGTCCTCCTACCCAAGCTCCTCTTCGATACAAGATTTCCGCACCGATTTGCCACTCTTCTCTCAACATGTCGGAGAACTCGAGACCGTCTTTTTCGAATCAATTACATTGTATGGTGCCATGATGCCCATCCATGTTGAGGCAGGTACACGTTCTAATCCGACGATGGCAAGTCTGACATCCATTGCAGTCTGTGTCTGCTGCAGTCGGCAAATTCAAGAATGCCAATAGCCCTATCGAGGGAAAATTCAACACGAGCACATCCCTTGACTTGGCTACCGCCAACAGCCCAATCAACGTCATCCTTGGATTATTCAACGCAGACGAGAAGAGTCCACCACTGTTTCTATGGAGAGCGCCAATGCGTGGGTTTCTGCCATTTACTCCTTCTCTATTAGTACTGACGATTTACAGACCTATCTCCGCAGGCATCAGCCTCTTCTCCACCGCTCCCTCGTCTACGGGAGGTAAGTTTGACGTGAAGGCCTACACTGCCGCGGGAAGATCGAACTCGGGTTCATCGACGCGTCTGTCGATTCTGCGCTTGACCTCACAGCGCATACGGCGATGGGCCCGGTGGACGTGACGATGCATCCTACTTATGAGGGCGAGTTTAGGTTAGCTACAATCATGGGAAGAGCGGAGGTTACTACGGCTGATGAAGTGGAGGATCCGAAAGGAGAAGACAGAAAGAGGTCGGTGAGCTTTGAGAGAGCTGGGGTAGCATTGTAGCAGGCAGGTGTGGTGGGGTGAGGAGGAGAAAGGCAGGGGAACCGTTGATTTGAAAACGTCCCTTTCGGGCGTCAAGCTGGCTTTGTGATTTCGTGTTGTATCTCTTATGATCTCATATTTGTAACATTTCTTACCAAATTTACTCGTTTTTTATACATCGATCATACCGCCATCTCCCGATGTTTCTGCTCTTTCCACCACGCCCACTACAAGGCATCGCATATTTTCAGATGACAAGCGATCCCTTCTCGAAGGGCACTACAACTTAGTTGATGACAGCCGCATACCAAAATCTGACCTACCGTTGTGTAACGCCAGATGACCGAAGCCAAGTGTCGCTACACAAAGTGAACTTGCGGAGAGAAGCTTAGCGTCACGCGAGAGAACTAGAACAACTCTCGTTAAGTCCAAGCCGTCCTACTAGTGTACAAAGCGTCGTATATATACTGTAGCAAAGAATATATAAGGAAATGGTACAATAGGTACAAGCAAAGCTGAGTAAGTGCTGAGTCTCGAGGATGACGAGAGACGATGAAAATCCCTACACTCGCCCTCCCGGGTTGTCAGAGACAAGCCGTACACCAGTAAACAAAGGAAAAAGAAGATAAAATTTTTGCAGAGTCGGAAGCTGCAAATTGTGAGTATCGACGGAAAATTCTTACAAAGAAAAGAAACGACATCAGTGGCTGTGCATATGTGACCAACCAACTCCTGCGTTACACGACGTGTCACCCTACGCGGCTGTCGCTGCATCCGCCATCTGAACGTCGTCACCAGAAGCACCAGCGGAAGCCTCAACCACGATGGGAGCAGCCGCTGATCCGGTGCTTGTCGACAAGCCGATAGGAAGGGAAGAAATCGAGGCAGAAGACTGGGTAGAGTTCTGGGTATTGGACGCGCCAGGATAAGGAGGAGGAGGGCCACCACGACCATTTCCTCGACCACGACCACGACCAAAACCACGACCACGATTGTGGCCCCGATTCCCGCCACGACGCTGATGGCCACGAGCGTAGTTGTCGAACGAATTCAAGGCATTGTCGAGGCGAACACGATGAAGGGTATAGGGAGATGAATTCCTGGAACGACTACGGCTTCGACCACGCTGTTCCGACGTTGCAGGAAGGCAACGGCCAAGCAAATTAAGGACCTGGTGCGTGATAGCATTGTGCGAAGACTGTAACTCACGAGATTGGGCCCATAGGTGAGCACCATGATTGACAGTACCATCAGGGAAGGTGCTGACCAACGCGTCCGCACCCTGAGCCATGGCCGTGCTCGTGTTGACATTGATGACTGGTCCAGTCGCCGAGGAAGGAGGAGTTGCTGCCGTTGGTTCTGCCGGATGGGTGTTACCAGGATGAAGAGAGGCTGTCGGTTGAACGAGAGGGGATAAAGTCATAGGAGGAGTACCTGGCGCAGAGAGCATGTCCAAGTCCTCGTTCGTCCAATCTAAACCGCCTAGTCCCTCTCCCGTACCAAAGAGGAAACCTCTGCCAAGGTCTCGAGTGGTGCCTGTTGCAGAACCGGGGGTGGTGCTGAGTAGTGAACCCTCTCCAGTTCCTCCACCAGCGCCGCTGCCCGTCGACCCGGCAACATCTTGAGACGACGAATGGTGTCCTTCTGTTCCTTCCTGAGCACTGCCGACTCCCTCTCGAGTTCCGCTATGTCCTCCCACACTGCCAGATGCTGGAAAACCTTCGCCTGTGTGTCCAGTAGCTGAGCCAGATCCCTCAGGAGCTTGCCCACTGGGCGCGGCTCGAACCTGGTCTCCCGAGGACGTGTGGGTGCCGCTGTAGGAGCTGTCACCAACCCTTGCATTGGAGGACGCGCCAGAGAGGGTGGACGAGGTGCGATCGGACGCTGCATTGACGGATTCGTCCTGGATTGAGAGCTCATTGAGTGCGATATCGATTTGGGACATGCGAAAGGGATCAGAATTGAGACCAGAGAATGTGAGTACACCCTTTATATCCCAGCTGACAGCCCCACTAAAAATTTGTGCATCCGAATCAGGTAAAGCTCCCTTTCCCTCTGGCAATCGCGATATCGAATCTACGCCCTGAGCCTCAAGATAAGCTTTCAAGGGTTCCAGATGAGAACACTCGGAGTAAGGTAACCATGTCGTGTCACCCGCTTTCCATTGGAGCTGAAAGTAAGCAGATGAAGCCCGTCCTGAATGAGTGACTACCCGCTCGACTTCCCATTCTGAAGGATCACGATCTTCAGATGCCTGGATAGCCTCAAGAGAACGATTCGGAAAGCGGCGGTCATCGTTAGGAATGTGAACCCGCAGCAATGAAGCATGGAATTTGGGGATGATCCCACGTCGACGTAGTTCAGAAGGTATGTTGACTTCGAACGTCACGTCGCCCAAGGCCTTGACAATACGATAGGGGCCAATATACTTAGGTACAAGCTTACGAGCGCGTCCTTTTGGAATTTTCAAGTTCTGTGTTGAAATGTAGACCAAGTCGCCAACAGTAAAAGGTACCGGCCGTCTCTTTTTGTTTGCGAGACGTGTCTGCTTGACGCGCGCTGCCAGGATCGCATCGTGAGCTGTTGTTAAAGCATCCTTTACTCGCTGCGCAAAGACACGGACACCAGGGTATTCCGTTGAACTATTCCAAATCAAGGTGCGAGGCATTCGGCCCGCGTTCAGAAAGAAAGGAGCAAACTCTGTTGTCTCAGAACGCGCATTGTTTATTGCAAATTCAATACCAGGTAGCTTATTCACCCCAATCCTTCTGAGAAGGAGAAATTGATAGGCGAAGCATCTGCTCCATAGTCCGGTTAGTCCGTTCTGTCAGTCCATCCGTTTCCGGGTGGTAGCTGGAAGACAACCGAAGCTCAACACCAATCATCTTGTGCAAGCTCGACCAAAATGTGCTTGTGAACAGGGAGTCACGGTCACTAACAATAGCCTCAGGCAGACCGTGTAGCTTGTATACATGGTCAAAGACCAATTCCGCAATATCTTTGGCCCGATAGGTCTGTTTCGAAGGCACAAGATGCACCATGTGAGTTAGATGGTCAATAATGACCGCGATCATGTCGAATGACCCCAACCGATTTGTAGATTCAGGGAGTGGACCCACGAAATCAATCCCTATTACTTGCCAGGGGTACGTGGGCACCGGTAAAGGTCGAAGCTCGCCATACTTTTTCTGGGTGCGAGGTTTCACTTGATGACATGTCGGACATGACTCACAAAAGGCACGGATATCCTGCTGCATGGATTTCCACCAGACATTGTCCCGCAGATAATGTAACGTCTTGGCGGGCTCCAAGATGCGCAAGAATTGAATGTGCGTGCGTTATCACAATCTCCCGTACATTACGAGAGCCAATTTTGACATCGGGAATGCACAGAACACGGCGATCACTCTCGTTTAAGAAAACAAGATCGTCGACCACTTCAAAATTCTTGTAAGTGTTCGGTGCCGCAATAACTAGCCCAAAGAAGGGATCATGAACATATTGTCCCCTTAGACAGTTCGGAAAATCCAACTCAGGATTCCCAGCAGAAATGATATTCTGCAACCGAGGCGCAACATGATCCTCAAGCTCCTCTTCTGGTGTCTGCACAGTAACCAGATCGGGATTAGGGAGAGCCGGGGAATCCTTTGCTGATGACTCTGAGACCCGTTTCCCAGTCTTCCCAGGTACGCCCTCCATCCGAGGCAATAAATTCCCCATTCTTATCCGGACTCGTAGGAAAACACGGGGCTGAGCTGTTGATGTGGATGCATCCTCAAGCGTCGAAGCCATACTTGCCATCGCAGGATCCCCGGTGTACACAGGACAAGAAAACAGGGTAATAGCTTCTAATGCCTGTCGTGTTTCCTCATCATCTACAGCAATGTATTCCGAGGGGGCACGAATAACCCCTGGCGGTTCAGAGCTGTAAATCCGAGATAGCGCATCTGCAAATATATTGATTTCTCCAGGAATGTACGTGATCGTGAAGTCAAATTCACTCAAGACCTCGACCCAACGAGCTTGCCGAGGTGAAAGATGCTTTTGTGTCATAATAAACTCGAGTGCCTTATGGTCGGTGAAAATACGGAAGTGAGTGCCATGTAAGATATTTCGAAACCGCTTCAAGGATTCCACAATGGCTAACAACTCCTGTTCATGGACAGGATAGTTTTGCTGCGTTGTTGTGAATTTCCCGCTCCAGAACGCAGCAATTGGAGCTGTCCGAAAATCCTCACCCTGCGAAACACAACCACTACCTCCTGAAGTACAAGCATCACAAATCAGGTTGATGGGTGGTTGATCTGGGCCATACGCCAGCGTAACACGGTGGTGGTCCCGCCAATCCTGGATCAGTTGCTTAACCTCATTGAAAGCACGATCAGCAACTGCTGTCCATCGCCAGGGTGTTGACGGCGCTGTAAGATGCTCGAGAATTCCCATTGGAATACGTACACCAGGTAAGTCATTCGCGAGGTATCCAACTGAACCAATGAATCCGCTAAGCAAAGACTTTGTAGTAGGGGTCTTCCAGTTTAGAACCTTGTCCACCTTAGCCGGATCCATGCAGATACCATTATCGTCGATTACATGTCCGAGAATACTGATCTTGTCTGCAAAGAACCGAAGCTTCTTCTCACTCAGATAGAACTTCTCACGACGAAGTATATCAACGACAGTTTTAACAGCTACCACATGGTCCTGTGGTGAGTCCGAATAAATGACAATATCATCAAGGTAGACATCAAGGAAAACCCCAATGTACGGTGAGAATAGGTGGTTCATCAATGCCATGAATGTAGCAGGAGCGTTACAATCTCCTTGCTGCATTACTAAACTGACCATCGTACCATCAGGTGTGTTCATAGCTGTACGGCTGACATGCTCTGGGACTACACGAACTTGCTCGTAAGCATCCTTCATGTCGATGACACTCCGATATTGTGCGAGAGCACATTCCGCAGAATTCCATCTATATCAGGCATCGGAGAAGCCACTTTCCGTGTATTGGCATTCCGTTCCCGAGAATCCGTAACTGTTCGCAACTGAATTGACTTATCCTTTGTAGGTTTACGAAGCATCAACATGGGCATGGCATTAGGAACACTTCGAAATTCCCATCTGCCTGAAGCCACATATGCATCCCTCTTCTCACGCCATAAAGGCCGTAAGGCATCCGGACAACGTGAGGGACGCCATGAGTAAGTCAACTCCTCATCCTTCAAAGGAATAGTATGATTAATTGCACGCAAAGGAGGTAAAGGAGTGTCTTCTGCAGACTTGCAAATATCTATAGTGTACTCATGAAGATCCCGACGTAAAGATTCAATGAAATTATCATTTTCCATCTGAACTGCACTCGACGATATCAATATTACATTGTCGCCTTCCAGCGGGAGACATTCACGACTGCCAATCCCTACACGAAACGGATTAAAACCCATAACAACCTGGTGCTGGAAAAGAAACGGCGTTCCGAGCATCATGTCATAACCATCAATGTTCATTACGTCAAAATGGCGTGTCTCACAAATATCCTGGTAAGAGATCTCTGCTTCGACCGAGTAATTAACCTTTGTCAGGGAACCTGTCACCGCAAGACGAACATTCATCGGCTTGGCCAAAGGCACCTTTTTAAGCTTAAGCAAGTCAACAACAGCTGAGGATATGAAGTCTGCCCGAGAGCCAGTGTCAAGCATTGCTCTCAGGACTGTTCCATTTACGACTACTGGAACTGTAGGTACCCACGGAGCCTTGCGCGTAAAGTCTTTTGGATTCGCAGCAGTCCGTTCCAAAGGCTCACTCGGTTGGTCCTTTCTCTTTCCCTTTCGCGATGAAGATGGTGCTGCAGCTGCAGAACAAAAATTCTCGTTTTCGAAGACATAAGAATCCCTTGAACCATCAGCTGCTGAATCATAGTCAGAGTCATAGCCGTCATCACTATCCTCCGAGTCTGAGACATCCTGCAGATGGGGTGGCTCATCAGAGTCAGAATCAGAATGCCAGGAATAGACATCCCCGTCGTCATCTGGCTCAGAATCGGGCTCTTTCTCTGTATCATTGCCATCATCCTCCGAGTCAGGATGCGATGATAGAACAGTATCATCGACATCATGATCAGAATATGAATCATTGCCATCCTCCGGCCAGTCGGAATTCACATCCAGAGCCTCCAGCAAGGCTGCATTTTCTAAAACATTGCCCGAAGATGGCCATACAGGTGTCATAGGCTGTTCATATCCATCCTGCAGCCATGGCTCAGTACCCGTAAGCATCTGGTCGCAAACCAGAGCCTTACGGCCGATAATCCAAGCAATCAAATCGAAATCAGGGTCAAGCAGCTCTGCACGGCTAACAACATGGTCATCCAGAGTGTGCCAGTCCCAAATAATGAACTCGTCCAAGCCAAAGACATCCATCGAAAATCGCTCTGGACTGAAGGGGCTATTTGCATCAACATTGTAGAAGTCATAGATGAATGGAATACTAGCATAGAGCTGAGAAATGGACCGTTCAATTAATACTCGATCTCGAGCCTCCAAAAATGTTATTGATGGCGTATACCAAGTTACAGGAAGGAAGCCAATATCAGGAATATATTGCCATGGAGGTGGGATAGGTGTAACCGGGCCGTCCCAATGTCGTCCATGGCCAAGTTCAGCCGAAGGAAGGGTCGGAGAAGACTCACGAGCATTTACAGCTGATACACCCAGAAATCCACGAGTATTGGCATCCATAGTGCAGGTCGAAGTCATTTGAAGCCCCGCTGCCGCAGAGCGTAGCGATGAGCCACCTGCCTTATTGAGCCGCTTCTTCCTTGGGCAGTCACGACTCAAATGGCCAGTCTCCTTGCACTCAAAACACTTGTTTGCTGCACGCAGCTCATCCATCTCTTTCTTGGATAGCTGGCGCTTGTTATCACTCTTGGCAGACCCACTGCTCCGGCCATTATTCGAGCCTGAAGCCTGTGGTGGATTCACAGAACCGGTCTTTGCCTTCGACGAAGGATCTTGAGGTTTCGGTTGCCAAGCTGTGAAAGACCTGGGAGATCGGGAATGGTCACGCCGTGAACGGAAAGGTCTGGAATGACGATTCATGGTACGTCCACGCTCTCCATCCCGTTGCCTGGAATCATAATCCCTATAGCGTGCAGCCTCCTGGAAACGAACTGCAGCCTCCTCAAGATCTTCAAACATTGAAATCTCAGCACTATATCCAGTCTCTGCCCATTTCGCTCGAATATAGTCATCTGCTCCCTGCCAAAGGTAAAGCACCAGTTGTCGATCCGGAATGTCACCAACACTATCAGCCAGATTCTGTAATTCAAAGATCCAATCACGAACTGCACGGCCATGCTGCCGGCAATTCGATAAACGGGTCCGTTGGCCAGTACGGAAATTCGGAGGGAAGCAGTGGTCAAAGAGGTGAGTTAGAAATTCATCTAGCTCCCAATTCCGACCTGACATGGCGACTTCGCGCATGAAGAAGGCTGCTGCTTTCCCAGACAAGAAGTGCTGAAGCTTCGGTACACGCCGCATCTTCTCGATGTAGACAGTCTTGAAGTAATCTGTCACCGAATATAACCAGCGTTGGAACACATCAAACTTCGGGGAGCCATCATATTTCTCGGGCAAAACAACTTTCTCATTCCCGAGTTCTCGTTTGCGGTGAGCCCTCTGTTTCTTGTATCGCTTCTTCTTCTCCCGTTTCCTCCTCTTAGTTGAATCTGAGTCTGAGGAGTATACGGAAGAGGGTTCAGAGATAGTAACATCTGAGTCATAGCCCATCCCCACAGGAATTTGTGAACTGGAAGGGGTATGCGAGGTACGAGTTCCTGACTTTTCATCCAACGCTTTTGACCCCATCAATGTCTTGTAGACAAAGCCATCATGCGGGAGCTGGTTCGAAGCACGACTAGACTGCACAACAACTGGCTGCATGGTCCTACCACGTTCCCTATCCGCAGCCCGTGCAACGATATCAGCTCCGATGTTCAGTGAACGACTGGTGGAGGAGGCTTTGCTGCGAGCTCGCCGAGCATCCTCAATATGGCGCGCAAGGCGAGCCTCTGCTTCCTTATGCTTAAGAGCAGCCTCTCGTTGAGCAGTTTCGATTTCCTTAGCAAGCTGCTCATCAGCCACCATCTGTGCCTTGCGCCATTCGATGTCATCATCATCCTCAATGTCCTCAACATTGACAGCCCACTTCCCCTTTTTACCATATGGAATCCTATCCTCTGAGGTGTCCACACGCCCTCCAGACTCTTGTTCACCATCGAGGCCTGCAGCATGACAATCAACAGACCCGGATCTCATTGGCGAGGCCATCCGTGAAGGGCTTCGTTCCACAGAGCTGTCAAACCCAGGTGTGTTTCGTGTCTCATGCTTTTGAGTAACACGATTAATGAAACCTTGGACATCTTCCGGGGACATATGGTTGTAGAAAAATTGCATGTAGTTGTCCTCGGAGTTATCAGGCTCATCAAAACTTAGGTGAGGAGTAACCTCTTCCTCACGTACCCTTGTATCATGACTAGGTGTCTCAATGATATTGATTTCCTCATCCCCGTAATCATCGTCTGAACCACAATCAAATTCGGGAGGAAAAAATAAGGGTCTATTAGTCAACGTATGGACAGGAGTACGACGAGGCGAGTGGGAAGCCGTACGACGACGATGAGGAACAATGAAGTCTGCGCTATCAACGTCATGCGTAACGTCCATGGCCTCTCGTGCCGTGCCAGATAAAGACCAGCGCCTGCGTGCACCCCCTAAACGGCCATCACTCCTAGCATCGAGCTCAGCCTTGAAAATATAGCTAGTATCCTCACGCTCCATCTGCTCTTCAATACCAGCAGGGGCGGAGACGCTCAACCGTTCTTCCTTCACGGGAGCTTCATCATTACGCCTCAACCATCCTAGGACGGGAGCGGAGTCGATGTCCCCGACAGTGCCAGGGCTAGGACTCGATGACCTCGACTGCCTGGAAGCAGGAGCTTCCTGGTCCACGGTATTACCACCAACAGTACCAACGCTGCCAGCAGCCGCGGCCCCAGGGGATGTTGTGAGTGAAACAGGAGTAAGAGAAGAATTTGACAACGCACCCATCCTACCAGACACATTCGGCGTGCTGGTAGCAACAACCTGAGCATAGGTTAACGGAATCGATGGTGTCGTTGTCGTGGTGATGACTCTCGAGCGGAGAGTCCGAACGTGAACGTTGTTGGGAACGTTGGCGGCCATTCTGGTTGATCAGACCGTAGGAGTCGCCAAAGAAACGAGTTGAGAAAAAAAAGCTAGAGAGTAAAAGAGTTCAAAAAATGTAACGCCAGATGACCGAAGCCAAGTGTCGCTACACAAAGTGAACTTGCGGAGAGAAGCTTAGCGTCACGCGAGAGAACTAGAACAACTCTCGTTAAGTCCAAGCCGTCCTACTAGTGTACAAAGCGTCGTATATATACTGTAGCAAAGAATATATAAGGAAATGGTACAATAGGTACAAGCAAAGCTGAGTAAGTGCTGAGTCTCGAGGATGACGAGAGACGATGAAAATCCCTACATCATCCCCATCCCAAATTTGCAGAATCCAATTTATGTGAGGCACACTTTGAAAATAATCATTACTCATTGCGACTGACTGGGGCTCTAATTGCCACTGTTTTGTTTATTTAAGGAAAAACCAATTGTCCAGTAAAGAAGCATACGTATGGCTCAGTCCCGCTATTCGACACATGGTGTCTAATATTATGGTCAGTATCTCTCCATACAAATTGTTTATATCCACCCTGTCACCGAATGTTGGATGGCTGGAACGAGATTCGAGGTTTCAAGTAGATCTGCCAACGTTGGAAGTGGCAATAAAGCGCAAAAGACATAGATGATATGCCGAGTTTGTCTTTCTAACGCTGATGGAAGATAAGCACGAATATCATTGAGCTTTTTGAGGGCAGTAGCTATGTCCAATTTCATCCATTTGCCAATGGTGTCATCGGCAGCGCTGCCATCAGCCAACGTAGGGCTCGACGTGTGCAAGGCATGATCTTTGAAGAAAGCACGGAAAGCCACATTTCTGGGTCTAAAAGGTTTTAAATATAGTAATGCCTTGTATTCGCATGAACGACGTTATCTGACACAATGTCACCCAATTATTGTCGATGTAAATTTCAAACATTGCGTATGTATTTTCACCGCCAGTACCAGTAATTCCGTCGGCCAAGTTGAAAGATTGTCTTCATTGATTCGGTTAGATTCTTGCACAGCTGCCCGTTGGATGCTATCTTGAAGAGGAATATTGCATTGTTCAATGAAATAATACACTGCACTTCGATGACAGGATATCGCCGTTGACAGATTGATCTGAGTACACACCGAGTGAACATACAGTTTTATTTGACTTAATGTACCTACCCCGCAACACTGTAAGATATCTACAATGACCGGTAGATCTAGAGGATTTAATATGTTGGCGATTTGATATCCGTTGTGAAAAGACATTCGATGCGTGATGGAAAGGGTGAAATCGTCAGCAGCAAGGATTTTGATTACGTGTGGAGAGTGATGTCATATCACGGGAAGACCTTGGCTTGTGTAAGCGAAGATTTTAGACCTAGAGAGACCTTGACAAGCAAGGTAACAAGAATGGCCATCCGCAATATACATGGCTGCATTGAAGGTGTCTTGCTCGCTACTCAACGTCGATACTCTTGTGGACAGTCACGGACACAGCCTCGTCTTGTATCCCAATCTATATAAGGGCTTGCCGCTGAAATGAAATTGTATGGAGATCGGTCTACGAATGCTATCCCTGGGAGATCTGAGGTTCCACTCTTCACGTGTGACTTTTGTCTTCTACCTCCATGACAAAGACAAAAATTCTACTCCTTTCTCTGTATTTTCCATCGTTTATCCTAGCGAAAGAGATCTCCAAGCGCAGTGTGCCCTCTGAAGGCTATTACAATCCGGCTGATAATGGGGGATCTATGCTGACGGTATGGAGGATATGTCCTAGAATTCTGCAATGGCTCACAATCGCATGGAAGGTCGTAGGGCAGACTTACCCAAACGGCCAACAGGAGCCAGTGAACGCTATTATATCGGGAAATTCCGACCAAGCTATCCTCGCACAGCAAAGCACGAACGGAGGGCTTATCAATTATTTTCTGTTAGTCTCGCATCCTTACGCGTCTCACCCCTTTTTATCGGCAAGACAGGTCTTTATCGTTTTCGGGGGAATGCTTAGGTCAACATACGGGTAACTCTCAACAAGTTAATTTAGGGGACGGCAACGGTTTCCGTGCGTGTTTTCCGCTGATCCCCATTTACAATGTCGGGATTCATATTTATCAAAGGCAATGAGACCGCTGTAATGCGATATAATTATGGTGATCCTGCCTTAGGTTCCTGCACAGAGTCGGTAAAGGGAGGTGACCACTTTAGATACTGGGTTCAGAATGGTAGTGAGGCCAACAGGTGAATGCTTACGCGTCGGTCCAGCTTTAGTCGTTGCATTTTAACTTGAATGTAGCGGTGCGGCTTTCTTGGCTATATCTTATGAAACCTCCTCAAGTGACAATCATGACATCGTTGAAAATGGATACAATCTTGGCCGTGACTACGTTGTCGGCAACATCACCGGCTCGAATGTGTCAACACTCGCGCTGACCGGTTCTTCGACATTTTCTGGGACATCGTCCTCTCAGGGATATACATACAAGACCGACATCATGTATGCTACGGGGCTGCTACAGAACACAAGCATCGGCATCAATCATAACCAGTCTGTGTCTAATAATGGCGCGGTGAACGCTGTGGATGGTCTCGTTGCAGTTTTCAGCGTATCAATTATAGGGAAACCTAGTAGCGATAGTAGCAGTAATAGCTCAGATTCAAGGTATGCGTTTTCTCCTTTCCGGGACGAAAGCAGAGCTCATGCTTGTGCATTGTACCAGTAATCTTGCGTGGCCAGAAATGTCTAAAACATGGTCATTTCTCCTCGCCTTATTCTTAATTTCCTTTATGGCTTTGTGATAATAGATGCATCTTATCTCCTTCGCAAAATTACACTCTGGACACCGACATCATAGAAGACCAATCGATTGGACGGACCGTATATAGTTCTCTAGCCCCTCATTCAAGGAACTCCTTTTCCGGGCCTGTATCATTGCGCAATAAAATCATTAAGTTTGTGGTGTATGCATAAGGTAAGAATAGTACACACAGTAGAGAATGAGTAAATAGCAAATGGAGGTGCTACGAAACCGGAAAACTTGACTTGAATCAGAGCACTGGATTACGGGGAAGGCTCGGCGGTGTACACATTTGGTCCCGATATATTGAGAACTCAGTCGCTGTTTGAGTAGAAGAATTGCCCAATTGCTTGAAAAATGCAACAAATCAAAGCAGAAGACAGCAACCTTGAAGAAAGTGGTGATACTCCGGTGATAAACACGTCCGACCACGTGGTTCCTCTTCATCTTTATTGGTCACTACCAAGACGCCTCCTATACTCTTATTTTTGCCAGCAATAATCTCACATTCCCCCTCTTATATGCCTGGTATATTCGTGTTCGAAGTGGCGGAGGATAGAGGACTTACTAGCGCTTTAACGCCGACAAGGGAAAGGTATCTGAAACATGAAACACGGTCCATGGCATGGAGCACGTCGGGCAGTTTCAATTTGCCTGTTCTACCGGTTGCTGGACAAATGAAAACTTCCCAGAGCAATGCGTTATCGAATGCCAGAGAAGTAGAGGTACCATCAAGACAAATCACGAGAACCTGGCGACGCCATGCAGATTGGTGGTGATTATTATCAGCTAACGTTGAGGCATGAACTTGAAATCCTTATGAAGTGCGTGAATCTCAATGGTCGCGTTTTATATTTATTCGTGGATATTCGTACGATAACCTTTTGTCACAGGTAATAATTTGATCATACGTCCAGTACCGATGGATTGTCTTTTGTGTCTGGTTTGACCAAGTAAGCCGAATTTTCTTCAGATATAGCCCTGTTTTAAATGACCTCAAAGCGACCCATATGTCCGTTGCGCGGCAGGCTCCTGGAGTCGTTTGCCGACGGTTCTTGGTCTAACAGCATGCGAAATGAAAGAAAAAGAAGGCTTCTACAATTCTGGGCCGCAGCGGGATGGGCATCAGCTGCTCCAAGAGAGAAGCGGACGGGAAAATAATACCCATACCAGTAGAAACCGCTGGCGCATGACATGCTGGGGTATGTAGGTAACGTAACATATTATGTCTCTGCTTTGCCCACCATATTGACGAACCTCTGCAGAAAGACCTTTGCAGAGACTCGAACGTCTTTGTTGGTGGGAAATCTCTAGGTCTTGACTATCTCCTCTGGTAACATCGTGATGGCTTATAAAAAGAGAACCCCCCGGACCGAGACTTGGCATGTCTTGGAAGGTATATGCAATGACCTGGACCGATCCTCGGCAGAAGGCGGAGAAGTGCGACATGAGAACAGAGCGACTACATAAGGAGGATGATAGCAAAATGCTCGGATCCTTCTGCTTGCTTACCGCCAGCACGGCTCTTATCGACTTCCATCGTTCAAGA